TCCGTGTGCGACACTCCGCCTTTGAAGGGGTTGCACCTTCTGCAGACGAAGCAGTGGGTCTATTTATATCCCCCCGACCCACTGGGGATGTAATAGGGTTTGATACAATAAAACAATAGAATTAGAACATGAATCCTCCATATAGATCTAGATCTAAATAAATCTAGAATCTAGATCTAGATCTAGTAGAACAAGTGAATAGGAATAGATCTAGGCCTTGAACGAGAAATCCGCATCCGATTCTGAATAGAGGGACTCAGCTGAGTCTAAAGATCTAGATCTAGAATTCTAGATTCTAAGTAGATATTCTAAATAATTCACGCACCTGATGAAATGTGTTTTACCAACATTAATATTACAATAGTACAGCACAACCTATAATAGAATAGGAATGTGAATCCTCCATTGAGGTCTATAATGATCTATAAATCTAGATCTAGATCTAGAGTGGTACAAGTGAGTCTGACTTGAAAGAATCCACATGATCTGAACAATCAGCAAACAAACGAAATTCAAAATGGCCGCTCGAGCACAAAACTGAAAGTAGATAATTTAAGTCGTACTTTTTCGTATTCGTATTTCTTCTCAGACAATTATGTCGGAAACGCCGACGTCGGCACGAAAACGAAAGTGCCGACAAAGCCGACGGGAGAAAAAGGGGGCGCTGGCAGTCAGCCAGGCCTCGCACTTCGCACATTGACTAATACAGGTGGGCCTAGCGATAGCATCAGCCGTCTCACGGGTCGGGTCGCGATTGTCGGATTTCAGACGATTGTCGGCAAAAATGCAGGTCTACTTTTCCTTTGTCAACGCATGAAAATCAGACACAGAACTTACCCCTGTCGCCTGACCTCCAGCAGTGTGTGGATAACACAAAGACCGTTGACAAGAACCGATTCATTTTTCTCAGAGTCGAACATATTGGACAGGAGCTGAGACACAGTTTCCTCTCTGAGGACGGTTAAGTAAAAAAATTATTACAATTGGAGCAAAACACAAAGCTCGAATTGAACCAAGTTCACAGAAGTAACAAACATTACACTTTAACCTTATCGATCGCACTTTGTTATCTCTGTCAAACACATCTTTTTAAAAAAAAGGAAAATAACAGAAAAAAAATGAGAGGTACCTCATATAAAAATCACAGAAACAACCTACAATAAAAACAAACATGAATAAGAGAAGAGTAATGAATGAATTGTAACAGAAGTTGACAATAAACATCCAGTTGAAATAGTCAAAGACAGCCACCCACTATCAAGGAGAAAAGTGGCCACCTTTGGCAGAACTGATCAAAACTAGTAAAACCGATACAAGGGCAAAAACAGTTTTCAGGTCTGCATGGAGTATTAAATTCTACAAAGATTATCAGACAAAGACAGTAAGCAAGGGTAAAAGAAAATGAATTGTGTCTGATGAAGAAGGCCAGGTACCGTGGTAAAACAAATCAATGGGGCGTCACCAGTTCATGAACAAGAGATACTTCTGTCATTAGTGTTTATGTTGACGCCCATTGTTACCAACTGGGTGAACAGAGCAGCCACTCTTCTCATTTATGATGCACTTATGGTAAGAGTTGTGGCACGGGGCTCGTGGATTATGATGGTTCACACTTCTCCCTAACCAACAGCTGAAAATTGTTACTGACTGGTCAACTTAAGTTAACAGTTGGAGGGACCTACGCACTGTGATGGTTAGCGATTGGTTCATTCGTAGAACGGACTAATAATGACAGTTGAATGAATTAAGACAGCTCGTCCACAGCGTCAGGGGCAGATAAACAATAATTTATGGCCACACATCCACCACCAAGAGATTTGCAAGACCATCTTTTGACAGATTTTTTTGGTAGTTGGTTGATAAAATATAGTGACCACTGCTACACTGGACTGATTATCGGTTTAAGCAAGGCCATTAATAGAGAAAAACGTAATGGGGGGGAGATTCCAAGTGGCCGTTTATATAGGAAGTCATCTTATACCATGCGTGAAAGTGACAAGAGACGCATTAGCCTGAAAATTCTGTTGTTAGAGAACGAATAGCCTGAAAAGTTCATGGTAAATTCACGCGGCCTGAAGAATGGGGTAGGCTTCTCACTTTTCCAGGGGTGCCATCCATTTTCCAGGGGCATTTTACATTATAATGACAGCACGTGCTCCATTTAAATATATATATACACACAAACAAACACATTAACACAAATATGTAGCCAACATTATATTCAGTCAACAAAATTTCAGTGTGGCACTGGGGTCTTGTGTGACTTACATATTTCAAGCTGTTCTTGTTATACATTTTCTTATTTATATTTTCCCCTCATCATTTTATATATAATATATATAATCTATTTTATAAAAATGAATCCTGCTTCGAGCCTATGAAAGGGCCAAGAACTAGAACCAGAAAATGGACTGTCAAGAACCGGTCTTGGTGTCGTGATTCATTTTCAACTTGCTTCATAAAATGGCATAATACCTGACTCTTAGCGATATGGAAATACAGTAAAGACTATGAAACGAAATGTCTCATAGATATAAATTACTATAAATTACTAGCCTAGCATACCACTAAAAATAAAAAGTTGGGTTTTTTTTTGCCATGTAGCTATTACGTATCTATACTCTCAACAGGCGCTACAAGGAGAAGAGGCAAGTCAACAGGTGGACGTTACGAGCATAAAAGGTTAAGAGCGTCTGTTATAATTTGAGTGAAAAAACTGTGTCTTACTTTATCACAAGGTCTCTAGAAAAGTTTCACCTCTGCCAAAAAGAAAACAAAATACCACTAAAGTCTACTTGACATTATTTCATTCTTTTAAAATCAGTTCTCTCATGTAATCTAGAGAACTTTCAGCTTACAGTTATTGAGTAAAAAAGTATGACTCTTACTGTTCCATGGTGACTAACAAAGGATCAGGCTCTGATGTGTCTTGCTGTTGGATGAACTGCTCTCTGCCCAGACGAACAATATCACACAGAGACTGGGCAGCATTGCAATGAATCTGCAAAGCGTTAAAAAAAAAAAATCACAACAGTAATATAGGATTAAACACTAATACTGCCCATGCAGTTACAGACAAATTTGTAAAATGATAACAAAAGCCCAAAACAGTACATTTTAGCTCTTAAAACGTCTAGAGTGTGATTAAAATTTTTTTTAAATAACAGAGATAAAAGAGCTTTCAAAATTTGAGCAAGTCTCTCACAACAATTTTGATTTCAGTTTCACAGTACATATCCCCTTTGAGTATGTAAGATCACATGTAAAAAGAACTAAATGTTTCATTTTAACCAAATCAAGCACAGATTTAAAAAAGAGTACTTACATCTTCATCTCTATCTACAACAATGGAGTCCACCAACTTCTCTACAATTTTTTCCTCATTCAACCACTGAAAAGGAAGAGGCAAAAGAACACATTTCTCACAATTTATGAAAAGCAAGACCTCCAAAAAAAAAAAAAAAAAAGCTTGAAAATGGAATTAAAACAAAAAATCTTTTTAAGGACATAAACATTGGTGTCCACAGGAAAAACGGGCATAGCTACAAACTGTAAAATTGTGAGGGTGTCAATTTTAAAAGATTGTGGACTCAACTTCATATTTGTTTGATTGATGACTTATTGTTAGGTAAGTTGAATGGGAAATCTAACAACATTAGTCAACCAACAGTTCATCAGAAATACAAATGTGAGTCAACAAGCATTCATAATTGATACCCTCATACCCCCACGATTTTCAGTTTGTGACTATTCCCCTTTTTCTGTGGAACCTCATATATGATCAACTTCATTTATATCCCTAAAGTCAATTATCGCTTGACTAACACTAGGTAACAAGAAGTGTAAACATATTCATTGCAATACTAAATATTTTCTTTAACTATAACTACAGTACTTCTGATCTTCATTCTTAGTTATTATTCCTTAGGGTGATAAAAGGATTTTACACACTAAACCTGACAGCTACATAAGAAGATGGTTATGAATTCTTTCATTCAAGAGCTCATCAGCAAGCCCAGCAACAAAAATTTGTTTCACAATTTCAAAACTACTATCAGTATAAACATGTACAGCAATTGAGTACCTCAATGACATCCCTTCTCGTTTCTGGAGACTCTATACATGTGATCAGCCTCAACAACAGGTCCATCACTGCAGAAGTGCCAATGTGATACAGGAGACGACCAACAAAATCATTTTTTGATTTCAAGTATTCAAATATCTGAGGAAGAGGAACAAAAGTGTAAAAAATCATTCTCAAAGATTGAAATAAAAGTAATGTTAAGGCAACAAACACACTAACAATGCCATCACTTAGAAGCGGCCTCCATGTGATTTTTGGCACACTTTTATTAAATGCTAGGGATAAAGATGACAAATTATTTCCAAATCTCTGGTCACATTCTGTGCGAGGAGTTGGGAATGAGATATGTGTCCTCCTCCTCCCCCCCCCCCCCCCCCCCCCCCCCCCCCGACAGCCTGGCAGGGATCCAAGTAGGTGGCAAACAAAACAGAAATTCACATAACACTAAGATAAACATGCACACTATTTCCAACCTTAGATCATCATCATCACTGACTAAACAATCCCCTTTCTTCTTGTTTCTTTTTTTCTAGAAACATAACAATTTGCACAATGTCAATACATTTTTACAAAACCAAATATCGGCACAAAAATCAGGACACAGGATAAACAGAAAAAAACAAAAACAAAGCAAAACAAACAAGCAAATTCCCAAAAGATTAGAAAATGTCTTCCCAAAAAGATATCTTCTATAAAATTTTAAAAAGCACCACAAACCATAGTGATCTTTTGAGAAAAGTGATGGGGACAACTTGTGCTGCGGATCACTGATCCCAAAATTTGAAAGACGCGCAAATGTTCTTGGATACCAGGGACACTTATAAGTTAATGACAAACACCCATGGACCTGTTACCAACACTTCTTTTGCCTTCCACTCTCCAGTACTGTAAAGTGCCAAGTCTAAGCAAAAAAAAAATATTCCTCAGAATAGTCACTCACCATTTCACTTTTGCGGGTGATGAGAAGACCCATAACTTTGCTGAAGAAGGAGGCTAGCAAAGGATTCAGCGGCTTCTCTCCTTCCAGAAAAGCATAGAGTTTGTCCACCAGATTCTCTTCCCCAGCAAGTTTGTCGTTAATCTGAGACACATCTGAGGTCAGCAGCTCGCAAGCTGTGTTTGGGTATCTGAAAAATACATTTTTTCACATGAACATTTTTCACTGTACTTTCAAGACAAACGTTGCTGCCCCCTCCCCACATTCAGTTCATCCTTGGGTATCTGGTTCAGAGATTTGACATGAAATGTTCATAACAGGGTAACTGTCAAATCAACTTCATAATGGGAAAACTGGTAAAATCCTAACAGTTACAATAAAAAAAATAAGGACAACACTAACCACTTCTACAACCAAACATGACAAATGAGAAAAATAAAGCAAGTAACCTTTTGCCATCTAGCAGTTCATTAAGTTCCCTTTTTTGTTTTCGAAAGTGTTTTGTGGCTCTTGCAACAAAATTATGTCAAATAAATGCCAAAGATTTGATGTTACTAAAGAATAACAAACACAAAAAAGGAGAGATAAGGACGATGGATATCTGATAGGAAAGAAGGGGCAAACCACAGCAGAGCACCCATCAACCATCCCCTAAAGTGCCTTTCAAACAAAGTACACACTGTTCTAATAAAAAAGTGACAGGAAGCAGTTCTCTCTTCAAAAATGGCATTGTGTAAAGAGAAGAGAAATACAAGAGTTCTCTAAACTTAGAGAGGTATCTATAGAATTATTCTGTGTTTTGTCTGACAAGCCTTAACGAATACCTTTTCAGTTTTTCAACTTATTAAATTCATAACATGCTGAGACAAACAAAAAAAGGAAACAATACAGAAGTTAAGAGTCAAACTCTATTAATCATTTAAGAAAATGAGGTACACAGAAGAAAATACTTGAACAATTATTGAACAAGTAAAGCAGATCCCACTTACTTAAACCGCAGTTTCTCATCCATGTCATCTGGTGGGTCCACAGTGATCAACTTGACCATTTCCTCCATATTTTCGGGCAGAACCAAACTGAAAGACAACACAAAGGTAATATAAGAGAACAAGGAATCAAAACACATTGTGTGGCAAAAGGATTGAAGCAAAAGGGGAAAAAAATTATCCACAAGAACCAACTTTTCAAGACAACAAGGATAGCTGCATACCATATTACGTCCACGGAATAAATTTTAAAATTTAAAGTCACCAGCTGTTTAACATAACCCCCCCCCCCAGAAGACATATTACCTCGATACAATATTCGCTATTTGACATTATTTTTAAAAATTACCAAAATCAGTTATTTGGAGTAGATGCCAGTCTTGATTGGGTGTTTCCACTATATCCACTGGGTTCAAGTAAAGGTAAGTGCCTGATGTCACTAGCATTATTGCTAGAAATTTAAACAATGTAAATTACTCAGGAAAAGTTCTAGCCCTGCCACTGACAGTGATAGCCCCCAGGTCACAACATAAGCATGCTCTCATCCTGTTCTGGGCTAACTTACAAATCAATTAGCTTTCTGTTCTGGGCCTTGCACTCTTGCAGGATGTCATCCTCCTCCATGAGCTCTCTGAGCGTGACATCCTGAAATAAAATTTGGGAGGGTGGAAACAATATCTTTAAAAAACCAGCGCAACTGTCCATTCAACAGGAAAAGAATCAACACTCAAGAATATTTAATAAATGCCTCCCACTTTCATTGCAAAATTCACTGGTCCTTTACACTTTAAATCTCCTTGCCTTTCTTACTATGTCCAAATTTTAAAGGGGATGGGGATGAGCATTTTACAGAAAGAAGGAGCAAACCACACCTGAGCACCCGTCAACCACCCAATTATGCCCAAATGTAACTGTTATGATCTCATTAACCAGACTGATATGAACAAAGGAACTATCTTTCTCAAAGCAACTGAAGATACAGACAATAACACCCCCTGCCCCCAAATAAAAAAGAAAAATGTTATACTTTAATTACACTGGGACCAGAGTTCACACAGCAAAAATTATGTTTCGACATTTTTTTGCCCCAGTACAAGCCGACTGGACTACAAACATGGTACTATATCAGTGTTTCAAATCACAAACATTAAGAACTGAGGAAAATCACACTATTTGCAACAGAAATTATATACGTCAAAATAATTACCTCTTTGTCAAGCAAAGTTTCAATGTGAGATGAAGTCAGAAGATTAAACTTCCAAAACATCTTAACCTGAAATAAAGAAAAGGGCATTTGAAAAGAATTAAAATACAGAAAACATACTAGCTAAGAACAAAGTCCACACAAAAGCATTGACAAAATGACACAACCATATTCATTATTATTCATCCTGACCTACCTTTCCCACCCATTCTTAAAGCAAAACCAGAAATCCTGCACAAGGTGTTACTTTCTTGCGCTCTTTTGTGATTCTGCTTTTTAGTTTCAGTAAGTGTTTTACGGCACTTGCAACACAATAAGGTCATATATGTGCCGAAGATTAAAGATGTTACAAGAGAGGAACAAACACACAAAAAAAAGGAGGGAAAATAAAGTATTAAAGACAATAGACGTCACATGTGATAGGAAAGAAGAAGCAGACCACACCAGAGCACCTGCCAAGTGTGTATGTGTTAGGAATGATACCAACAATAACAAATGGTTCAACACAACTGCAAACAACAGCGTAATGCTTATGTGGGCTTTTGTCTATGGCCGGGACAGGCCGGTTCCCGGCTTAGCACGAGATGGGCAACCTCACCTGGCGATATGAGGTAAAATTCCCCCATCATCTGCAAGGATGGGTGTGTATATAATGGGCCAGTAAAAGTGCGGGTTTGTGTACGTGTGTGTAAGACTGTATGGGGAAGAGTAAAGGTGTACAGTACAGATCTAGCTATAAAATACAAATTACAAAGATGACTGGAAAAATGCACAAATAAAAAGAAAAAAAAAAAGGAAATACAGTAACTCCCTTTGGAAGCAGGCCTCAGTGTTGTTTATAAGATGTTGCTGCTACTGTTAACTATTTTTTTTTGGGGGGGGGGGGCTGTAAACTTCAAAGATAAAGATAACCCTACCCCCTCCCCTCCCAAACACACATACATGGGTCTTAGTTTTAGTAAGAGTTTTACAGCACTTACAACACAATAAGGTCATATAAGTGCCCAAGATTAGAGGTATTACAAGAGAGTAACAAACACAAAAAAGGAGATGGGGAGATAAAGACAATAGATGTTTGATAGGAAAGAAGAAGCAAACCACACCGGAGCACCCGCCAACCACCCATCCCTGCATGGGCCCTAATCACAGGATTCCCCCTCAAGACTCCAGAATGAAGGTGGCCTTGGTGAAAGGGTAAGAACAAAACTCCTGGACTCAGAACTGGACATTTTAGGCTCATGCAGTTATTTTGCTGAGATAAACAAAAGAGTAGGGATGCACACACACGCTGACATTATAAGCCAATAATGGCATTCAGTTTTGAATCCTTAGAAAAAAAAATTGTCTGACAAATTAGAGCAAAAAGGTAGCTGTTGAAGGGAACTACCTGAACAAAATCAGAAACCAATTCTAGTCCACAAAACACAGCATGCGTAAACTAAGAGAGCCACAATCATACGCAACCCAATAGAAAGCAAGGGTGTCTGAAAGTGCTAATTGATGAGCATCAATTCAGGACCATTTTGGTAAATGATTTACAGTGCTCACTACAGATATTGTAAGGTCTTGTGATCGCTCGGGACACATTTAACATTTTCAGTTTGGTAGTAATTAATTTTGAATTTTGCCAGCTGACAGATAGCAGTAAAAACAATCCAGGAGTAGTACAGTAGTCTCCGCCTAAACGCACGGTGCTCGTAGGGGGGGGGGGGGGGGGCTCCTTTGCAAAGGGAGAAAGGGACGCAGTCATCTCAATTCCTTATTACTCTTGTGATCTCCCTTGGAGGAGGGGGTCATTTTGGCTGATAATGTGACTACACGTGGCTGTTTTGTGAAGGATTCCCAGACAGGGGTTAAGAATATAAAGGCGTTGAATGGGGGAACAAACTCAAAGTAATGAATATGCACTATAAACGTCGGGAACAGATAGCCTATGAGGAAACTGTTGGTGATATTCATAGAGACGACGGACCAGCCACGTGGCTTTCCAAGCGACGGCCCCCGACCATAAATTCATGCAAAATCATCCCCGAGAAACATTTTGTCTTGTGATTCGTTGAACAAGTACGTTATAAGTTCTTCGAGCGCAGCTTATTAGGCTTACTTGGCTAATCTTTAATCCTATAGAAGCCTGTCTAGTGTTTTACGGCATTTACGCATTTCGTGCATCAGGCCTAGATCTAACTAAACATTACACGCAGTCACTCAAACTCAAACACCAGTCAGAAACCTTCTCTCAAAGATACATTTCCAGTGATCAATCAAAAAACATTTCAGTCCCCCCCCCCCCCCCCCCTAACATTTAACCGACCAGCCCGAGACCGAGACCTATGTGTCAGTGGAAAGTATGGTGCGTAAACGCTGTCCATCATTCTCTTTGTAAAGCATGAGGGACGCTCTCACCAAATATTTTCTAGTAAATTCTAGGCTTGTCTTATGCAGGCTGTGCAGGTTGTCGTGAAAATTTCCCCTTGCCAAGCATATCTTGTCGGCGTGTTTCACGGATCGGAGCGTGCGTTTAGAGGGAGTGACCATGCGTTTGTACGTCTAAATTATATAGTAAAAAACCCGTCAGATGACGAAAGCGTGCGTTTGAGCGGAGCGTGCTTTTGTATGGCGTGCGTTTAGGCGGAGACTACTGTAGTAGGCAGCAAAAAGAGTCAGGAGCCCAGAGATGGGGAGGCAGAATTTGGAAATGAAAGCAGACGACAGAACATGATTAAAGAGCAGGAAAGGTGGTGAAAGAAGAAAATTTTAGAGACCAAAATTCTGCTTTTAGTTTAAGTAGAGGTTTTACGGCACTCGCAACTGCATATGGTCATATGAGCGCCAGAAGTAGGGGTGTTACAAGAGAGTAACAAACATAAAAAGAAGAAGGGGAGATTGTTTGATAAGAAAGAAGAAGCAAACCACACCAGAGCATCCGCCAACCACCCTCGAAAATTTTGCGATGTTGTCAGGTTTCGAACCCGTGACACTGAATGAGAGGTAAAAACTGTACCTCTAGATGGCCCCACGAACCCTGCAAACGTTTACAAATCTTAAAAACTCCCTTAGAATCCCCAACTGTTAAAGATGCGACTCTTAATCTTCTGATAAGACCCAACTAATTTATTGCGTCCAGCAATCCCAGCAGGCCGCCATGGTCACTCAGAACTCAAGGCCCGTGTACTGCAAGCTTTCCTGAACACATGTTTTCTCCGTGAATACCGTGGACGGTGACTCTATCAATAATGAAAATAATGAATAATGCCCTACAAATACATGAATAACACCCTGTCAAAAGTTGATAAGTAATTACGAGCGGTTACCCCCCTTCGAATAACCCTCTGGACGCCATTGTTTATACGATCTGGGGTTGAAAAGAAAATAATATTGATAAATTTCAGAATGTTTTGTGCTCAAATTTTTCTTTTTAACAAGCATAATGGTTTTCATAACTATCAAATAACGATTATTTTTTAAGTAAAATTAAGCTCATTTGAAAGATTTTTGTTAATTGAAAAATGAAAGTCTTGCTTCCTGATAATCCCTTCGAATTCCTCATGTCTAGGTGGGTCAATTTTATTTATTTATCAAATTTCACTGGACGAATATTCAGAGCTACCAGCATGGCATGTTTAGAACGAGACATACACCTCGATTTCGAACCAACGCAGACAGTTCTAGACAAGCACAAACAGACTGACCTACACACATTTCAGCTGCGGAAATACGGGATCCGGAGACACTCGGCGCACATACACCAAGCGGAGCCGGTCGGCAACCATACAAATGCAGGACCCATTGGAAAGCAAGGATGTCAAAATACGCAAAATCGGGATGCATACATTTGGTGCCCGTGGAATTGGGGTTAATCTTGGTCCAACAAAGCAGGGAATAGGTTTTTATGACTTGTAGGCGTTTATCATAATCTTAGTTACCCCTTCTGCATATTCTGTTACGAGACAATGAATGACATTGATGCTTTTACAGCAGTTGGAAGTAGAGTTTATGTTGCAGCAAATTCAAAGCTGTCTTAAGGTTTTTAGTTTAGTTTTAGTAGAGGTTTTACAGCGCTCGCAACTGCACAAGGTCACATGAGTGCCAAAAAATTAGAGGTGTTACAAGAGAGTCACAAACATAAAAATGAAAAAGGGGAGATAAGGACGATAGATGTTCGATAGGAAAGAAGAAGCAAACCACACCAGATCCACCCACGTGTTAAGGTTTCGGCTGGGTCAGAGTATGGTTACAGTACAAACGATATGGGTAGGGCATGGGTAAGATACTAAGATTAACCCAGGAAGCCCTTCGGCCCTATGCTGAGCCATACTTTACTTTACTTTACTTTTCCGATCCAGCGGCCATTTGGGTTCTAGCCCTTCGGTCTGTCGATATGGCAAAGAATTGACAGGTTTTAATCAGCTGTGCTTTGTCGCTGTATAGAGTGTTTCCGATGTCTGGGGAGGCAGGTAGGTAGGTGCTACGCAGGTCACAAAGTGCAGGGCAGTTAAAGAGGTGGTGTGGTACTGTTTCATCCTGGCAGTCGCACAACGGGCAGTCGGGTGGGGTATCCTTGCGGATCCTATTAAGGTAGGAATTTAGTGGTATGTGTTGTGTTCGCAGGCGAAATATTGTGACTTGTTCTCTTCTACTCAGGGAATTTATTGCATCTTTAGAGTATGCTGAGCTATAAATTGTCCTACATTTTCAATAGCAGTATTAGCAGGTCAGCTGATATCCCCCTGCGAAAACCGCATGTTTACAACCAATCCGCCGTGGCGCCCAGGTATTTGGGAGGATTACATGTACTTCCAGTAAAATGTTGAGTATTTTCAGGATTACGGGTAAAGGAAAAGTTACCCTTGCCTTACTGACTCTACCCCTAGCTCTAGTGACCAGGTCTAGCATAGACATAGGTCATGTGAATAACTGAAAGGTAGCCATTATTCCCACCCTGAGTGAAATAGGATTTTCTCTTATTCCCACCCCCCTGAGGGGATTTACGAATATTTTACTCGATTTTTTTTTATCTATTAGGTGTGTTTTTACATGTGTGCTGATTTAGTTTTACTTTCATTCATATTTTCGGCCTTTTTCTTTGCTTTCAATGAGATTTACTTGATAAGACAGAAAGCATTCAAAAACTAAAACTAATGTTTTTCCCCTAAGCATAATTAGCACTCTCATTTGAATGTGCTCAATATTTCCACACCCAGCATAAAAATTGTACAGGCGTACTACATCTAGATCTACTTAGGCTAGATCTGCCAGTGTTTGTGTCTAATTCTCACCCCAGGTTTAGAGGTCGGCCTTCAGCCTGTATTACATCAATAAAACATCTAGAATCTAGATCTAGATAGGAAAGATGAGAAGTGACCCGACCCGGGTGGGAATAACTAAAAAAAATTATTCCCACTTACTCACTTTCTAACTGAAAATACAGAGCACGATTTTGAAAAAGCTCACAATTTCCCCCTCTCCTGGGTCCTGCTACCCTCAACCCTTCCTTCATTATTATTTCATAAATTAAACTGCTTCTCTTCAGTCAGTCCAGTATATTTTTTGAAACGTCAAATTAGCTCGAAGTAGTGCCTAATACTAATAGACTAACTCATTAAGACAGTCGTAAATTAAGTTGCTTTGGTACTTTGGTTGTTCGTGTCTTTGTTTTCGTTTTATGTTGTTTTTGTTTGAAGGCATGGGGGGGGGGGGGGGGGGGGTTAACTCTTGTCCTGCGTCTGTGCTGAGATGCGAATCTTATCAGCAACCAATTACGTCGGATGTTCCGGGCAGGTCGCCAGGGTCATTCAGTGTGTACTGTTGGTGTACAGCGCGCGCGTCGGGAAACAAGTGTTTTCGTGGGAGTGTGTTAATTTAATAATCGATGATGAAAATAACGCTCTATCTTTCATAACTTTCAATTTATAAAGTGTTACATTTATAAAGTGTTACAAACACATGAATAATCCCCTCTCACAAACTGATAAGACATTACGAGTAGTTACGCCCATTTGAATAACCTGTCTAGACGCTCTTGTTGTTATGAATGACCTGAGGTTCGAAAGGGGATAATATAGGTCAATTTCCTAATGTTTTGCACTCAAATTGTTCTTTGTACCTGCATAACAGTATTCAAAACTATCAAACAAGCTTATTTTTTATTAGGTAGTATCATTTCATATAAAATCAAGCTCATTTGAAATATTTTGTACAGAAAAGTGGAAGTCTTGTTTCCTGACTATCCTTTCGAGCTCGTCATGTTAAGTGGGTCAATTTCTTCTATAATTTCTTCATTGGACGAACATCTAGAGCTACCAACTTGGCGTGTTTTGAATCAGACGTATGCCTCAATTACGAACCAACGCAGGTGGTTCTAAAAGAAGGCCACAAACTCAGTCAAACTCAAGCAGACTGACACACACACACTTGACCTGCGTGAATGGGGATCCGACTCGGGACCCGAATTTCACGTAAGATGATGCGCGGTGCGCGTGCGCTGAGACAGGGGCTAGACTGACTCGGGACCAGAACGTAGGCGAGGTGCCGAAATAAACTTATCGGGCGACATAAACCCGGCCCCCGCAGGACGAGGGTTAAAAGTAGAGTATCAGCACTTGACTTGCAATACAATCAGGTCATGATGCAAGTAGGCCTACCAAAGACAGATTAGAGGTGATACAAGAAAGTAACAAATGATAAAAGGAGGAAGAGAATAAGGACAGTATTAGGAGGCTAAGCCTTTATGAATTAATGTTTGATTGTGACAGGAAAGAAGGAATCCCACTTCCAAAGTAAAGCATCTTTTGCAATCATCAAAGTAGAATCTTGGGCAATTTAGTAGTTCCGTTCATTAAAGTCAAGAGCAGGGGGGTTCCAGGGGGGCTTGCCCCGTGACCTAAAAAAAATTATGGAGGTGGGGGGGTTCAGGGGGGGCATGCCCCCCTGAATTTTTTTACCATAATTTGATGTGTTTTGCAGTTTGGTTGCATCCCTGATCTTTGTGTAGCCTATTTGGTCATCAAGACTTCTGGATTTCTTCTCTGAATGTAAACAAAAGGATCGTGGACTTTAACGAATGGAGCTACAAGATCACCGAAACTAGGCCTACTTTCTCTTCAACTTTACAACATCATCATATTCATGGACAGTTATCCACACAAAAACAACAGATCAAAATGGTTCAGTCTCAGTTAGCCTAGAATAAAACCAATGACCAATGTGACATGTGGTATGTGCAATTTACGGGAGGACTTCCGTAACGAGCGACCACTATTGTAAGACAGATCAGAATTGAGGGCTAGGGGTAGGGGTAGATCTAGGGGTAGGGTTTGGGTTAGGGTTAGGGTTAGGGTTAGACCTCTTCTTTATTGTGTTTGAAGGGGTGGTCGCTCGTTACGGAAGTCCTTCCCAATTTACTTTCATATGTATCATATTGTTTAGACTATCAATCAAAAGAAAATTTAGAAAAATAAAGTAAAGATAATAAAGTAAAGTAAGGGTAAAAAGGGGTTGTAGCAACTTTGAACAACAATGCAACAGCAATCAGCAATGTAGCCTATTCCTCATGAAATATACTATCTAGATCTAATGGCCACCTCTATTCTCACCCGGGGTGAGAATAGTGCAGGCGAGTCTTTTGGCTATTCTCACCCGGTGCGCGTTCACTATTATAGCCTAGATCTTGGCCAACAAATATTGCGTTAACCCTTAACCACAGAATTCTACACTGTGATAACAGAAAAATTGTAGAATTCTGTGCAGTGAACAAACGTTCCATTACAACTGTAGCCTACTAAAACGTACAATTTTGTCTGTGGGCAGTGGAGAGAGTAGCAATGACAATGAAAAATTAAATTTTCATCCGAATTGCTTAAAAATGGGCTTAAATGAAACTAGAGTAAATTCTAAGAACTGTGGTTTTTAAATTTTAAAAATCCATTGATAAATAAAAAAGTTATTGGGATTTTTGTTTGCAAAATGTTGGAGGACCTTCATATAGGAAAAAATCGCCAAAATGTGGGACATGTTTTGATGTATTTTGAGGAAAAACTGTTCATAAGTCAGTAATGAATTGGAGCATATGAATGAAACTTGGCATCTCCATGTGATTTTTAGTGCCAAATCTAGTTCTGCTATCACTTTTTCGTTGTCTTCATTACTTTGGATCTTAAACACTGATATTTGCGTGAAATTTGTTGAATTGTGTGACATCGTTTTTACCGCGACGCGATTACCCCTTCTAAAACTCAGTAAAGCGCTATCGGGAAAACCCGCGATGTAGTCATCGGTGACCCATTTGGTTATAGGCAGCCAATCACATGCCGCCTAGCGATCACGCGCCTCTTGCATGTCGGCACCTCGCGTTTTGAATGCGCGATTAAGTTTCTAGATCTAGTGTTTTATCAATGGGTGGGTGGTAATTTTAAGTTGGTACGGAAAATCTACTAAACGCAGAGATCTGAAATTTTACAGCAATAAAGAAGACATGTGGGGCGCTTGTGTGGTCGGCGATCAACCCGCTGCTCCGCTTAGTTTTCGAACTGCAGAGGAAATTCTCACAAACACGGCAATATCTCCGGTTCTAGTAATCGTTCGGGATTGGACACTGGCATGTCGTTAGTTTAACCTTTCCTCTGGTTGGTTGCCGAGTTTCATTGATTTTCGTCCAGGAGTTTTCCCGTAACTAAACTTAGAAGAGAGTCACTTCTGATTCCGAGCGGCCCAAAAAATACCCCTCGCGCGGAGGCCGATTTCCGGCACAAGGCGCAGCGGGCGATTGGCATTGCTAGAGAGAGAGAGAAAGAGAGAGAGAGGGGAGTAGCGCGAGAACTTCCGGTCAAAACAAAATGGCGACCCGTGTAGTTCGGCTCGATTCGAAAAGTTAAATAGCCGTAGCATCTTTGTAGACAACCAAATTAATTTACTTTTGTGTTTTAACATCATTTTTTAACTTTGTTTTGGTCAATTTGATCGTCCACACCAATAGACAGTATTCAGAAAGAGACAGAGAGAGAGAGAGGGGAGGAGTAGATCTGTCTTGCGAGAACTTCCGGGCAAAACAAAATGGCGACCCGCGTAGTTCGGCTCGATTCGAACAGTGAAATAGCCATAGCATCTTTGAAGACGATCGAATTAGCTTACTTTTGTGCTATAACGTAATTTTTTCTTGGCTTTTATCAATTTGATCATCCACACCGATAGACAGTATTTTAAAATGAGGAAAAGCAGGTCTTGTTTCGCACCGGGTGAGAATAGCCTACGCTGGCAAGTCTCAACCGGGGTGAGAGGTAGATCGTTTTTCTATTCCAGATCTAAAATAGCTCTTCATGTATGAATACCATACTGCACAGGATGAATCATTGCAATTTATTCCCATAAATGCACGCCTGCACGGCAACTGAAAAAAGACAAAGTGAAGTTGTCAGTGGGAGAACTGACAGAAAGAACCGAGTCGAGGACATGAACGTTGGTCTGCGGAGTGCACATCAAGTCACAGTCACGTAAACGTAAAGCACAACAAAAACAGAGGCAGAGAACGGCAACGATACAGTGCTCAAAATACACGTTCTCGTACCTGTTGTCAATATGAATAGAGTAAAATATACGGGAAATGTTCTCTACAACATTTGTAGATTATACAATGAGCTCTTGATTTCTCTGAAACTCTTGTACAGAAGTAAACACAGGCGGGAACAAAACGCAGAGAACAAAATGGCTTCCAAAAATACAGCTCTCGTTACTGCCCATTATGTTCCGGGAGATCGCGAGACTTCACTAGGCTAGCGGTGAGCAGTCAATCTACTATTATTTACGGTGTATTCAGAAACTATAACCCTTGTAGGCTATTGTTAATAAAAGAAGTGGTTTTTTTTATTAATCGTTCGAGTATCGTATGCATGTTTCTCCAAATTAACCACTTTTTAAAGTAATAATATTCGGGTGTTATGGGGTAGAATAGGGAAGCAATTGACATTAAACGGTCTGTTCTCCCCTCTGTTAATGGTTTTGGTTGCATTTTCAGTAGGATGTTTCTTCATTTACTAGCCAGTATCCCATAATCTGTTTCTTTAGCTTTTCTTTTAGTAATAGGCCTATTCCTTCTCCACATAGATGTTGATTGCCACCAGAATGTATCCTCCCCCCCCCCCCCAAAAAAGGGCAGTACGTGCTACTGCACTGAAGTTGTCTTTAGGGCATTCCCAAAGGGGGAGGGGGGATATTAACATGTTCTTATACACAGTAAAATTGTAAATAGGCTGATTTATCAATGTCACGCTCATACTTTGCCGGAACAACCGAGGGGGGACTGCTGCTTTTTCTTTCCTCATACTTACTATCGTCATTTTCCTCTACTTCTTTTGTATGTTTGTCACTCTCTTGTGAACTGCTATTCTCGGGGTGCCATAATAAAGTCAAAGCAAACTTTGTGTTGTTGAGGCTAGAGAGGTGAGCTGAGTACGCCTGATTTCCCGTTTGGACATCTCCGTTGACATTCACCCCTTGGCGCTCATATTACCCGATGCAGTAGGAGCGCCGTAAAACCTTTCTAAAACAAAACAACAATTACAACAAAACAACAGCAGAATGTATGAAGATATTTCTTTATTACACCTTCACCTGTCCGACAAGTTTCTGATATGCCAAAAATATATATGCTTCTTTTGCTAGGTTCTCTAAATTCCCTTTTTAGTAGTAAATTGTAGAGTTCCCACATTCTATGTTCCCATTTTTAAACAGTTCCTTCTATTCTTTAGGTGGCTATGGTCTGACTTCAACCCTCCCGAGGAAATTTGGTTGCCGTCGTCATCAATAGCCTTCCTCCGTGATGTAGGCCTACTTGAATGGCAACATGACAAAAAAATAAGGGTAAGACCATCCAGCACTTGCGCGATGTTCTTTTCACCCAGACCAACCCAATCTAGGGTAGAATCTAGTTTCATCACCTCTATTCCTCACTGACAGATGGTTATATCCAAAATCTAACCCAGTGCAAGCGCAAAAAGGGTTCGTGTTCAACACGAAACAATGACTCCTAAACTAAATTATACTAACGAACACATGGCCAGGTTTTGAGAGATATTTGTGACTTCTCTGTTTCCCAATCTGTTTGAAAACATAGTAATAGATTCTGTTTATTCCAGAGACCATGATATTCTCCATTCATTTTTTTATTCAATACATGTCCAACTTACCAATATTGATGCACCTCAATACATGTGCACTTTTTTTTTTTTACGTTTCTTTGATTTCACACATTTCTTTGCCAAATCTGGCTTTTTTAAAGTCTGTTTCGAGTGACCATATCTTGGCGACTTTTAGCATAAATGACATAGATATTAATAAATGTGTCATTCAGACTATGCAGACTTTATTTAGCTTTAAATGGACACGCTGTATGAGTGGATAGTGCATGGCGTTTTTAAAGTTGCTTTTTTTACGCCACTATATAGACATGCGCGCGCGCGCACACACACACACACACACACACACACACACACACACACACACACACACACACACAAATATACACACACAGGATTTAATTACTGTAAACAGATGAACATATTGATACAATAGCGGCCATTTAACCCTTTGACGACGCGCATAGCTGTTTTAGGCCACTTTCTTTTTTTTTAAAGCATAACTTGCTTTTTCAAAAGGAGTTTTAAATTTTGTTAGCGTTATCTGAAACTTGAAAAGGCAGACAATACCAGCGTGCTATAAAATGATAGTGATAGGCAATTTCGCATTTCTGATTCGTGTATGATGGTTCAAATGAGTCTCAACATTGCCTTAATTGCTCTGCTGCTGGTGGAACCTTTTGTTATTATTATGTGTCTGCTACGTCTTTAAAGAGTTAAAACAGGGGAAAAGTTTGTGACTGTATCGAAGCTTCATTATCCAGCAGCTGATAGGCAGAGAAGTTTTCAGTGTGGCATAAACCTGTCTACAGGCTCAAACTTCTTTTCTAGCAATTCTTACCTTGTAGGAATAATCAAGTTTGCGCCGTTATTCAGGTTTTTTTTAATTTTGCTGTGCGTTAATGTGTGTGTGTGTGTGTGTGTGTGTGTGTGTGTGTGTGTGTGTGTGTGTGTGTGTG